CCCCTGTCCGATTGCTTTCAACAGATTCAATTTGCGCGGCGGTATCCACATAAGTTCAACAGTCTGACCCTCACAGCACTGGAGTTGAAGATAATCCGCTGAAATTCAGAGAAAAAATAGCAGCTTTATTATTAAGAACTTAATGATAAGTATCAAGATGGTCAGCCACCTGAAATAAACTTCTGAACGCCCGGAACCTACTGCTCCACCAAAAGCTCAACTGGAAAGCCGGCAAGCATCCAGGCCAGTCAATCATTCGATCAATTCAGTAAAACCTGATTAGTGTTCTCTGCGCAACAGAAGCACGACCGAATATGATCAGTTTTCAGGCTTTTCACAGAGGCGCGATCGATGTTGATGGGTGATCACTAACGCCTATCAGACGGCCTGGATCAACGTCAGAAAGTCCCCTTTAAATTGCTTGGGGCCGGTGTAACTTTTGCTCTCTCACTCAGTCGCTTGTTTGGAATACAGCTGTTGTGTTCCCTTCTGTGAGTCTTTCCTCTCCGACACTAGGCACCATAGCGTGTCTGCAGCAGATACCTCAGATTAACGAATCAACAGATATAACAATATTAGTGATACTTCAGTTGCAGCATCGTTTTGGAATGTAGCTGCAATATTGCCCGAGCGTTGCATTAGGGCTGGGCAAACGCCGGGTAGCCTACGCATGGACAGGACATTTCGGGAAGCCGAGGCTGGGTTCGAAACGCGTTCATTAAGTTAAGGGCTTAAGCACTGAAATATCTTGAGCACCTTAGCCAATTGAAGCTTCCCGAAGTAAGTTTCTACGGTGGAGATGAAGTTTTATCTTGTTGTTTGAGACCGACTGATAATAAGATCCCGAGAGACATCGGTTACCTACCATATTTTGCAGCATCTACAACTCGGGTTAGATTTAAATAAGGATTGCAAAATTATGTGACCGTTGCGAGGGGTTTCAGGGCTACGAATAAATACAGTCAATTTTTATTAGTTTACAGAGAAGTTTTTTATGCTCATGAAATTTTGGATGTGTAACCAAGGGTCCGTCGTGTTTACTGCTCATCCAGATGTCGGCTATTCTTAGCATTTATTCGTCTAATTGTTGTCAACTTTCTAGAAGAGACTGCAAGTTAATATGAGGGAGCCTTGACCATGTACATAAATTTCATAAGAGGTTGTTTTTGTTGCGCGCGGCATCGAAACATCAACTGAATCATTGTAAACTACTTGCAATGTTTGAGCAGGTGAAACGTGGATCAATTTGGGTATTAAGTTCCGCATGTCATCCAGTTTTCGAAAAATTCCGTAACTAACTCCGTGACGGGGCGAGATGGTTTATCACAATGCTTTTTATGTGATGATTTTTTTTCATGTGGCAATAAGTTGATACCGCAACCCTGAAGGTGTGCTCTCGCTACCGTTTTTGTGACAGTTACTTTGGAATACATTATGTTGCAACGAGGCGACGCAGTAAAAAATGCTTACTTGTAAAATGACACTGTTTATCCGTATATCTGAATCCCTTTAAATTGGCGTGAACTTTGCACCATTTGACGTCATTCTCTCTCCCGCCCCATACATTATACAGCGCTTTGGCAGTAAAACGCTGGACAAAGTTCAGTGACTTGATGAACTTCGGTGACGAGGTGAATTACGAAACTTTGTGAATATGAACAAGTTTTTGTTTGCATACAGGACTTCTTCCAACCGAAGTCCACAAATGTGCTACCTGTAAAAAACAGCGTATAGGTCATTTTTGCTCCATTCCCTCATCTGCTTATAAACTTCAAGTTTGAGAAGCTTATCCTTCAAAACTATACTCAGGCAATTGATAATTTAATCATTCATTTACTTCTCAGAAGACTCTGCGTTCTACGCCGAGATGGCATGAAACAGCATGAACGTCATCACATTCCAGAATAAACGAGGTCGTACACGTTTCAGAAGGTCTTGGTAAACAATCGGTAGTTTTTTGGACAACGTTATGCTTTTGATACAACAGCTTCATTAGGCCAAGTGCGCAGGTCAGCAAATCGGTCAGGTTATAAGTGAGGCGGGGAAACAATCAGTGAACCCCCTTCTGGTAGTCAAACTGGATCAGGGTTGAGTGTGAATGATAGCTAGTGTCGGTTACTGTGGTGGTCAAATTCTTAATTTGGTGGATTGGAGGAGTTTCAAATAAATTATAATCGGGTGTGTATCGTTAGTGTTCCACTTCAGGGTGCCACTGGCAGATTTTCTTTGGTATTTGTAGGGTTGTGCGTGCTCCGAACTTTTAGTTTGACCGGGTGGGTTGAGGTCAGATGGAATTCAAACTATGGCTTCTCTACCTTCTGATGCCCGCAAACCAATACATGTAAACTCGACCGATCAAAAAACCGTTTTCCACATGCTTGCCAATTCCACGCCTCTCTCTGTTCAAATTCTTCCGTAAATATATTGTTAAAAGCCGGGAGTATTTGAGATTCCGTTGATAAACCTTGTTCTTGAATATAAACAACGAAGTGGGCGAGATGCAGACATGCTTTCGTAACTTCCACTCATTTCTTAACCGTAAGCTGAGTCGGTTCGCTACCTTGTTGACGAGTTTTTGTGAATTCTTAATGTAAGCACTAGATTTCCCTTTGAGGGACTTTAGAATACCGGCCGAGAATCTGGCCAGTTCATGCGGTGGGGAACATATTCTGCCTACTATCTGTCTCACCGGAACATTCGGTTTATGGATTTTTGGAAGGGCAAAATGTCGGAAAGAGCTCAACCACTTTGTTCGATCACTCACTAGAGGAAGCCTCAATGATCGATGAGTGAATCGACAGTAAACTTTGACACTTTCATCGCATATGCTACAACTCTGCATCTAGGAAGAACCCACGGATTGCCAAATTCGGAGGAAGTTGCTCCTTACGTGGCGGCATCTAGTTACCTTCAAGCGCACCGCATTACGATTCAACTGGTTAGTGCAATGGAATTTAAATGACAATGTTGTCATACTGGTTCACAGTCTTTCTCTTTAACACATGCAGGGATTTGTGGCAGCTTTTCAAAATTAAATCACACATGTAGAGCCCAAGTACCGATCGAAAGTAAACATCCGGTACGACTGGTCCTGCGCGTTGTGGGAGTATTTGTCATCGATCGAGCATTTAGACAGTATTCGCCGAAATGCCGTTCGCCTGATGATTTTCAGACAATCGGTTTATTATTTGACAATCGACGTTGTACCATACAGGATATCTGATGGAATTTGGCTATAACATGATTAATCAGTCAATGACCTAATGAGAGTTTCTCCTTAGTTAATGTAAGCATCGGACTATATTATACAGAAATGCCCCAAATCAACGGGTTACGCGCTAATTCGATTCATGCTCCCCTGAGATGGGGTGTTTAAATTGGTCGCGTGTTCCACAACAAAACTAGATAAATATTTGATCCCGAGGTTTTGATGGTGTAAGACATCCTAGGGATTTTTTGTGAAGATTTCTTCGTGTAAGTGAAGGCATTTTATGCCTAAAAGCTGAGAAGCACCGTGCAGCCGCTAAATACTTCACGAACATCCATCACGAACAGGGAATTCAACTGGAGTCATCTGATTCGCCTGCCAAAACCGTAATCATGTGCAATTGAGCGATGCTCCCAAAATCTGTCTAATTTCGGTTCAAGTAGAATATGGTGTAGATTGAAACTCGGGGACAGATAACGGTTAATAGCGGACCTGGAGGTAAGCTGTCGAGGGATTTTCAGCGAACTTATAAGTAGTGTAGCTTTCAGAATTAACAAAGTCAACACGCACGCCCCAAGTGCCTAGCCGGTTACCGGTGAATCATGAAAATTAATTTCCTTAGCTTGACAATCCACGTGAACTTGACCGAGGTGATCAACATCTGGCTCATTGATTTCGGAGTGAATCAACGTTCTACTCGTTAGTTTCCAGAGGCATGTATACGGAACATCTGCAATAGCCTGTTCGGAGTTTATGTAACAGTGAATGTAGTGAAGCCGTTCGTCGCGTAGCTGCTTATCAGAAAACAATTGCCCTATAGCGGACAAAGGAACAGGAATCTAAAACTTTTTCGTTCACTTGATTCCTAAAAAAACTCCGCTTCATATTATCATTCTTTTCGAAAGCGTCATCTGGAAATTCTCTGGATATTCGCTGACTATTAGACTGATTATTTCCGCCGTAACCTCAATTTCTGATTGACCAGAAGACGGGGATATTGACCGCATATCACCACAAACAAGGACTTGCGTTTGGTTGACCATATGGAAGCATGACAGGCTAAATCGGTAACTCCAATTCCCTGCTTTGGGTCTGCCCCGATACCGCGATCACTAGCGATCGTTGCAACACTGAATATCTGTGCGACACTGGTCGGTTTGTGGGTCAGTTGCTAATCCGGTATCCGCGTTCTGACACGTTCAAAAGCCTCATAGGCTTCCCTGATCCACTCGGATTTCCGATTTTGTCCAAGCAAGTCGTAGAGTGGAGCAGCTATCAAATGAAAATCCTTCATGACAATCCTTGACAAACCGACTGTAGTATACTGCTTATCAAGGAAGATGCCATAGGGACGGTTTGAAACTGGGAACAGCAAAGTTCTTGAGCTTTACCAACACTTCTGGCCGTGAACTAACCACCCGTGACCCACGCATTGACAATCCGTCGACTTTCATTCGGAATCCCCGCGGCTCTCCCGGCTAGCGCACATTGTTTTCATTCAGCTTCGCTTCATTCTCGTGTCAGCGATACGCCTGCAAATGTATCACTCAATCACAGCATCCACTTCCTTTCTACCTCGTTGTGTGTATGGTGGTCCGTGTCACTGTGCAAATCGCAACTTACTCCGGAATAATGCAGTAATGCAATGTTCATTATATGCAAGTGCTCGAGTACGAGTACATTGATTGTTCCAGTGGCGAGGTATGCAACATTTGTAGCACCGGCCGGTTAGTGCATGCCTCTGTAACTCCGACTTTTTGGGTACAAGTTGTTCGTCAACTTTGTTCCTCAGGTCCTCAACTGTTGAATCATCCCTGTTCTCCTGCGAATGCAACGTGGTCAATGTTGCCTGAGCGGATCCGCGTGCCAGATGCACCATGTGTTCCACACTCAACTGGCAAGTTGCTGTTGCCAACCGCTCGAATCGGCTCCTTTCTGCTGTTAGACACTGGAGATATCATCGATTGTTCCTCTAGGGGGCCTGTCCGTTAGGGGCACATTAAAAGAAGGATGGCTTCCCGGGAGCGTCGGGATAATTGCAAAGGTGAGTGAGATAATGAAATGATGAAGGAGAACAAATACCGGACAGCTTCATAGTGTTCTCAGTTCCCGTGTGTCACCTGAACCGGCCAACGCACTTAAGAAATCATGCCGTTCAGCGCGAAGAAGAAGAGCAAAAGAAGTAAACTGAAGAAGGGTAGCAATCAACCGTCAAACAGACTCACATGGAGATTTCAATGACAAACTTTCGACCGAACTTGAACGTACCGTTATGATTGTCAACATCTAAATAGCCTCCTACGTCATTCGTTGTAGAAAGCGGATAGTAAGTTGAAAAGAGAACTCCGCTGACTAGAGTACTCTGATTAAAAATCTCTTTTCCAGGTTTATACAAAGACGGTATAGAGCCAGGTGCGAACTCTCACTCTGTGATGAACATGATTGGTATCTATTCATCGCTCTACTCATTATTACCTTGTTTTAATATTCCAGATGCTGTACACATACGTCAATTCGAATACATAGGTGTCACTTGTTGCACCGTGCTGAATTCTGAATTTCTAGTTCATCTGGTTATGTCGACATACGTGGTGAACTTTATTTCTGCAGGGGTACTCCAGCAATATTTATTTTCAGTTCCGAATGCCACAGACCACTGAGAAGCCAACAACCTTTTCACGTAATTTCAATTCTATAAATGCAATCGATTACTGGGAACGTTTCGACGTATGAAGTTTTACAATTTCGCGCCTCAACCACTGAGTTATCTCGAGCTCTCTGGAGAAAATGCCCTCACTTCAATAGGGAGCATCTGCTAGTTGTGCCATGACTTTTGTTGTAAATCAAAAAACGTGTGAGGGTGGGGGCTGGACCGAGGTGCGTGATTCGCTTCCGTCGTTTTTATAGCACGACCATTCCGAGCAAAATATGAAGGTTAAGTTTCATACGACTTGCTCAATCTTATGTCTTCTATTTGGGAAGCGAATGACGTCATTTACGTTAGTAAACCTGCAGCCTGGGGACCCAAAATGCCCGAGGTGAGTGATTCGCTTCCGTCGTTTTCATAGCACGACCATTCCGAGCAAAATATGAAGGTTAAGTTTCATACGACTTGCTCAATCTTATGTCTTCTATTTGGGAAGCGAATGACGTCATTTACGTTAGTAAACCTGCAGCCTGGGGAACCAAAATGCGATTCCAAATTTATCTTCTCCCAGGAATTTCCATTTGGTCAATAACCTACCCCTGCAAATGCTGCTGTACCAATCCTCGGGAGCAACAACGTCCAGTTGATTTATCTTTGTAACACAACTAATACCACGAGCAATTCGCGCACCGAGATTAAGGAACTAACTCATTTCTTCTGAAATTGAACAGTATATACGAAAGATTTCTTTGGGTTCTGTTGAGTCCCCCAAAGAGACGTAGTTAATTTGCGAGTGAGAGTATTTCATCTATCAGAAAGATCCGAATCCTGAAGGTAACCCTGGGATGGTCGGAACCTACTGAGACACACTCCACCAGAATTTGAATAGGAAACCCAGCAAGCATCCAGGCAAGTCAATCAATTCAATCAATTCGGCAAAATCCGACGAGTGTTAATGCACGCTAAAAGATGGACGACCAAATGTGACTAGCGTTCAGGCATCCCTTGGAAACCCGATCGACTTTGATGGGTGCTTACTAAACGCCTATCAGACTGCCCGCATTAATGCCAGAAAGTGCTCTTGATGTAGCTCGGAGCCGTTGTAACGTTCCCGCTAGCAAGCACTCGCCTGATTGAAATAAAGCTGTTGTGTACACTTTCTGGCACTAGGCACAGGAGCGGGAAAAGCAGTAATAATAACGTTCCTTTTATTTTCCTCTGACATTTATCCAAAGACGAAGAGTTCCACCATTTGGCGGCAAAAACCTGCTTTATTCGATCGCCAAGTTCTGTGTGTAAACGGATAAATCGGATTGCCTTCTGAGTTGGGGTTTGTGTATGCCGTAGGGTGTCAGTGGATTGCCCGAATGGAACATATATCTTACGATAGAATGAAATGCCATGACTGCTGCTCTCATAAAGTCACAAACGAAAGTTAACGGGATGGAGAATCCATGCTTCTTGGCTTGCCTATCGCCAATCCCTGGCAGTCAGTAGAGCAATTTACCAACTCGCGAATGCGGGCCCCTTTTTATAATAATGTTCCGTAGCGGCTATCTTCTAGTAGAGGGGATGATACCTGGCTCCAAACAGCAATTAATTCATTGCGGCGTAGGTGTTTTCGTATACTGCAGCCACATTTCACATAACAAATTCCGTCGCAGTCTGCGGTGAACCGCAGAATGACCCTCCAGTACGGAATGATTTTTTACGTTAGTTCCAAGAGAAATATCCGTGGACCTGTGGTTCCACGCATCTGGTGTAACTGGATAATGATTCTGGACTAGATGCATCTGGCTTGCAGTCGATGCCTTCCCATCCCATGCGCATGAACATCCACGAGTTGATGAATCTGATACAACATCAGGTTGAAAATGTATTAAGTGAACAACTGCCCAAAACAGAAAATTCCAGAAGACTCCTTACCAGTCTGATTGGTAGACAAAATAAGGCCCTTCCAACGACCTTGTCTAAATATACGATGAACTTTTAAAGAGCTGTATTCAAACACGATGAAGCCAAGTTTCATGAAGCGTCCCCATCACGGCTAATGTCATCACGAGAAACATTGAAACTTGATCAGTGTGTTTGAGTCGACAGGCAACACACAACAATTCTACCCGTGTCGGCCGACTGGCCTATTTTCGTTCGTTCTGTGCACCTATCGTGCACTGGTACGTCAAATATGTGGTGGCGTCTTGATGGGTAGACAAGGTCTGAGAATCCCGACGGTTTTACCCAAACGCTTATGGTTTTACCAAACAATCTTTGGTCGGCTAGCTTCATGAAAAACCCAACCCGTTTCGCGACGAGGGCAATGCACGAAACGGAACAGCCGCAATTCTTTTTATTTTGACAACATCAGGCAGCAAGGGGCGTGTCCGGTAGGGACAGACGTTGAGGAGGAAGTCGATGTGGGTTTCAGCCTCGTATCCGAGTTTGCAAAGCTCCATTATATGAGTTGCTTGCTTGGCTATCTCGAAGACCGGAAGACAGATAGATAACAGGATCTCAGCTGTGAAGTCAGTCTAATCATGAAAGCGAATGATTCGCCGTGCATAAAAAAGACTTAGTATCCGACATTTCGAACATAACTTTGTACTAATGACTGAGAATGCTTTCAAAAGAGCAGCAAGGTGTGTTCACACAAGATTCTTCCTAACGTCCACCACAGGTATCAGCATTATCGTAAAAACTGGAAATAATTCTAAACAACGGGAAGGTCGTCAGTGAGCCACTCTGAATTTCAAGAGAAAAATGGGTCCGCGATTAAATCTGGTATTTGTGAGAGGGGTTGGTGAGTATTGGTATATCTGAATTTTGGATATTTCAAAACGTTCCAATATAAATCCGCGCAAAGAATAGTCGAAATTTTTTAGCTACGTTGCACATGAGGGAAAATATGGGAAGTCTACGAAAAAACACATAGAGCATCATCAAGAATTGGCAGTTCTTGTGTTTCCGTCAACCTCATGTTCTACCTGAACCCGACAGATTTTGTCAAATGACCCCGCTTGTAAACGAATTTGGTTTCGATATGGGACACAATTGAACCGCAAATGATGCCTCGCTTCCACTGGATGATCATCTAGAGCACAAGGCTGATGGGATCTCAGGTATAAAACGTTTCAGCAGCCATATGTATAGTTCACTTTATGCAGCTAATGCTGCTTTGCCAATAGTGAAGTATTTGAAATGGTAACGAACGTCCATGATAAGCTAGGATTCTGGTTGCAACGGCCGTCGATCATGAATGTGGAGAAAGCTAAACCGATCGTGAGTGTTTCAGGAATTTTGAAATCAGTCAGGCAACATGGTTTGTTGATAATCCACCGAAGTTTTATAAGGTAATCATCGGTAGAGGGAAGTGTCTGGGTTGTTTTCGGTTCAAAATCCTCCGCCGTTTGATCAAATCGTATGAAAACAGACGAACCAGTAGAATGCCCGTACTTTTCATTGTACTTCCTCTGTACAGATTGGTTTTGCAGGTTCCAAAATATTGGAGGATTCTTGGAATCAACAATGGTATGGTATGCTTTCCGGACAGATATGACACTGAGGAGGTGTTTCTGCGTGTTTGTCCTTGATCAATTCTAAATAGTAAATTGACATGCAGAGTTCCTCCTCTAAGGAAAGAGTGTTGAGCATAATACTGGTGGTCCAGAGGGCCGAAACCTAGTGAGTCACACAACGCAATGGCTGGGCATCCGACGCCTTTCAAGCAAAATACTTGCAGGTAGAATCGAACGAATTTTGGAAAAAAAGGACTGGTTTCGTTGATCAAAAAGAGGGATATATACCACCCTATAACGACCAAGATTTGAAAGTGGTTGTCAAAACTTTGAAACCAAGATACACACTCAAAGTAAGACAGAGGTTCTCATATAAACTGACCCGAGTTCTTTAGTCATGGGTATCATCTTGAGCTTGTCTTTCTACAGCTGTATTCGCACCATTGTTCCAGCTATCTATCGTTTGGATATCGATTTGTTCGGCGACTGTTCCTCGAAATTGTGTGTTACTGAATAACAAACATAACGATTCCGGCCAGATTTGCTGGCCAGATCATGCTTTACTATATTTCTAAGCAGCGCTGAACACACGGGCGATTTGTAAACAGAGGAACACCGTCACCGCAGTCCCGTGACGCGTCCTACCACAATGTATCATCCTGTCGTCGTGGGAGGTTTGTGCCGGCTGGAATTCAGTTCCAAGGGTGTTTATACATGCCAGCATTGGCAATGTTATAGCTCGAAATGTTGAAAAACTGAACACAATTGAACTGAACTGAAATGAACTAAAATGAACTGAAATGAAATGAAATGAACTCAACTGAGCTGAAATG